GTAGTCCATGATTCTCCTGCTGATCAAGAATCTTAGCCTTAAATATACACAAGTACTCTGGCCCCGCCCTCCCAGCTTTCCATGGCAAAGAGTTCCAAAGAATCTCAACTCTCTGAAAGAAGAAATTCCTCCTCATCTCAGCCTTAAATTGGTGCCTTCATTAATCTGAGATCATAGCCCCAGGACCTAGGCTCTCCCATGAGGCGAAATATCCTCTCAGCATTTACCATGTCAAGCCCCTTAAGAATCCTACATGGTTCAATGAGATCACCTCTCATTCTTCTAAATACCAGTGAGCAGAGTCCCAACTTGTTTAACCTTTGCTCATAAGACAATCCCTCCATTCCAAGGATCATCCTTGTGAACCTTCTCTGAACGGCCTCCAATGAAGTGATACCTTTCCTTAAATAAAGGGAGCAAACTTCTCACAGTACTGCAGATGCAATCTCTCCAGGACCTTGTAAACGTGCAGTCAGACTTCCCTGCTCTTATACTCCAACCCCCTTGAGATAAGGGCCAACATTCCATTAGCTTTCTGATTACCTGCTGCCCTTGCCTTCTGCAGATTTTCACCACTTAGATAGCATTCTATTCTTTTGTTCTCCCTTCCAAGGTGAACGTCAGATATATCCACATTATGCTTCATTTTCTGACTCTGCCCACTCATTTAACCTATAATATCTCTGCAAACTGTTTGTATCTCTCTCACAGCTTGCTTTTCTACCTATTTTTCTGTTGTCTAAATAGTTGTAATCCTTATGGGATCCCACTTGTTACAGGTCACCAACATGAACAAAATTACTCCTTACCCCCACTCGCCATTCCTGCCCATTAGCCAATTCTTCTTCCGGGCCAATAGGCCACCTCCAACATCATGGGCTCTTATTTTATGACTTAACCTTTTATGAGGTAGCTAATCAAATGACTTTTGTAAGTCCAAATACAAGACATCTACTGGTTCCCCTCTATCCAACTTGAAAAACTCTAATAATTTAGTCAGAAGGGATTTCCCTTTGGTGAAACCATGCTAACTCTGCTTGGATTAGATTATGATTTTCCAAATATTCTGCTATTATCCCCTTAATAATTGATTCTAACATTTTTCCAACAATAGATGTTAGGTTAATTGCCCTATAGTTACCCGCTCTTTCCCCCCCTTTAGTGCATGAGTCACAAAAGGATAGCATGGAAGTAGAGAACATAATCAAGAAGGCTAATTAGATGTACTCCTTTGTTATGACAGGGACTGACCATAAAGGTTATGCTTCAGTTGTACAAGTTGCCAGAGGGCAGTTAAGAGTCAACCACATTGGTGTTGCATGTAGGCCAGACCAGGTAAGGGTATCAAAGGACATTAGTAAGGTTTACTTGATTGTAAACCTAGGTATAGAAGATTTACTAGCTGATTCCTGGATTGACCAGGTTGTCTTACATGGATAGAGTGGACAGGCTGGCCTTGATTTGCACTGGGGTTTATGAGAGTAAAGAGTGACTTGACTGAAGTGTGTAAAATCCTGGATGGTCTTGACAAGGTGGACATGGGATGGATGATCTGTCCTGCAGGTGAAAGCAGAACGAGGGGGCATTGTTTTAAAATTAGGGATCAAAGATGGGAATTATTTTCTCCCTGAGTTTTTGGACTTTGGAACCTTCAGTAGGCAGTGAACATGGCAGTCATGAAGCATTTTTAAGACAGAAGTAGATAAGTTCTTGTTGGGCAAAGGATTCAAAGGTTATTGGCAATAAATGGGAAATGTAGAATGCAAACCACAAACAGATCAGCTGTGATATTACTGAGTGGTAGAGCAGACTCAAAGGGCTGAATGGTCTACTTGTGCTATTATTTTGTACGTTTGTAGGTGTGCTAACTCAGTCTTCTTCAAACTATGGCAGCAAGGTTTCACAAGAAAGACCTCTGCAGGTCAAAGACCTAGTGTACAGAGTAGTTACTGTCACACTCCTGTGCAACAGTGAGATCCAGACTTTATTAGTGACACCTAACAGCATGAGATAAATCCTACCAGCAACGTCTAATCGACTTTTCTGGATTTGATGCATAATCAAGAAAACACTAATGTCCTTCTCAATTCCATCTCCAGAAGCACTCAGGTAAAAGTCATGCAACACTGGCTACAGTGGACTGAACATTGAGTCTGGGCAGTGGAAGAGTATCTTTTTATTTTCTCAGGTCCTCTTTGACCAGCTAAAAGTGAGGACAATCAGTCCATCGTGCAGTGTTATGCCTCGCGTCCAAACACCTCAATGAACACAGCAACAGCAACGAAGGAAGCAAATCCTGCACTCCAAATCCTACTGTCACATGGGACATCGTGACCCACATACCCAGTAATCTGCAGGTTGAGTTTTGGCCTGAGCAGCCACATGCAGACCCACGGCAGATACCCACCCTCGAATTGAACATATTCTCCATGCAAAAACACTGCTTTCAAGTGATTTCAGGACCTTTACTTTCACTAACCTTCCTATATTTAAATCCTCAATTCCACTCTAGATTAAAAATACACACAGCTACAAATTGGACTGACTTGAACAAAGTTGGCCAGGTAGACCTCGTACAGTTCGAGTCCCTGATTGGGGCTGTTAATCTGGTCCAATCAGGGAGCCCTGGCTGACAGATGTAAACAGGAGGGTCAGAGGTTCTGTTCACTCTGAGATCTGGCTCTGAGGGAGCCAGTCCAGTGTTAACTAAGTGTAAATAAACAGTAACTTTGGTGATGGGAAACTGGTCTCTGTGGAATTATTTCACAGGTAACTGATGGGAAGCAGGCCCAGGTGAGCTGCTCTTACAAAGAGTTGGCCAGGACTTAATTGCCTCAAAAGACTTCCCTTGGAGTTGTAAACCCACTATGATCCTTGTGAAACTTAAGTCACATCATTGATAAAGAGTCTATTCATGAAACCCAACCATATTCACAGGAGAACTTCAAGTCTTTACTTAAACTGATGTGTGATCTCCTTAAAGATAATAGAATTTTATTATTCATTCTTGTCACTAATACCAATCTGTAATATCAAATTACCTGTAGCTCTCCTTGCTCTTCTTCTTCTTCGTCTGAGCTGTTTTAAAAACCTGACCACGTCTCTGGGCCTTCTAAACCGTTTCAGTTTGCGGATATATCTTGGGAGGGCTTCAGAAAAGACTAACTGCACGGAAAAGGAGAATAAGGCTAATCATATACAACCCTTGATTTTGAAAACATGTTCTTATCCAGAGCAAATCTTTCATTTAGATCTCTGGATTCTTTCGGAGATAAACCAGAATGTGATAAAATTGCCTGAAAAAGAAACATACACTGACAGGTGACTTTGAAGTTGAAAAATGTACAGGAAAACCAGCTTGGGAGAGAGAGGCTGGGTCAGGGCTTTAGGAAGCAGGTCCTGGGAACAAAGGGTCACATAGTGGGAATCAGTGGAGCCCAGGCTTTCGGTGGGGGGCGGGGCAGGAGTACCGGGCTTCGGAAGCACTGCCCCTCCTTCAGGCCCAGTCAGTGCAGGCCTGACCACATGCACTAGAAGACAGCATTGAGCTGGGAGGATCTCCAATCTGAGATCCCATCTCTCTCCCTCACTCTCGTAGTTCTCCAATCACGGGCTCCTTGTTATCCACCAAGGACAGGATTCCCTGTAAGGTGATGAGGAGTCAGCAAAGGGGTGATTGAGAGGAAAGGTGGGTCTGTGAGGGCCAGTAAGAGGAGGAGGCTATGAGGGCGAGTGAGAGGCGAGGGCTGTCTGTGAGAAGTTTGCACGTTCTCGCCATGTCTGTGTGGGTTTCCTCTGGGTGCTCCGGTTTCCTCCCACAGTCCAAAGCTGTGCATGTTAGGTGGATCAGCCATAGAAAATGCAGGGTTACGGGGATAGGGTGGGTATGGGTGGGATGCGTTCAGAGGGTTGGTGTGAACTTGATGGGCCGAATGGCCTGCCTCCACAGTGTGGGGATTCTAGGCGATTGGTTTGTTTCTTCAACTTCCAGAAAATCCTCCAACTGATAACGTCCCACAGCTTTCATCATCCTAGGATATCAGCCTACAATGTACAGAGGTTAGGTAGATCTGCCAAGCTAGTCTGCACCTCCTGAACCAGTACCCAGGCTACAGAATTATATTTTGGATGGATGCAACATGTGGAATTTTCAAGGTATGTTTAATGTGGATTAAATAGATATGAAACCTTTGTTTACAAAGTGGGGTTTGGGATATTTTCTAGTGTTAAAATGTTCGGATTATAGAGCCTACGAAAAGTACAAACTAGGAGGTGATGTAGAAGGCTTTAATTGTCCCAAATAGTTAACTTTGTGTGAAGTAGTATTCAATTATTTAAGTTGTACCGAGTTCACTTGATTCCATGTTGAAGTCAATGTCAAAGGCAGGTTTCCCAGCTCAAGCACTGTACGGGACGTCCATGACGTAGGAGGACTGCAAGTGAACAAACAAATGCCTGTTAGTAAGTGACAGTTCGGCTACAAAATTCCACTCCTTAGCGTCCAGTTGTTCATTGGTCCGTGTGCGGGATTAATTGCAAAATGGAGTCTCTAGTCTGTGTACAGGTCTGGAATGAGCTAATGCTGCAGGCCATTTTGATGAAGCCCTTAGCATGATGCATCTGTTGGACGTGCGCAGAGTCGGCGTGTAAAGTTGATTTTGACATTTCAGAGCATAATTCTTCAGCTAATACCACCTCTTAAACTTGTTCTGAAGTTGTGCAACAATAGGTCAGAGTCCCCCTTGCCACCTTCACCTCCAACACCCCCCCGCCCCCGAGGACTACCAACTACTGTCAGATTAGTCGATCGATTTCCAATGACTTAACTGGGCTTGTCCGGAGGTTTGGAGAATTCTGTAGAGTTGATAAATCTACAGGGAGTAGCTGGGTACATGCCAAAGAACTTAGTTCTAATTTCAAGGGCCGACAAAAAGGTCAACCAAGTTTGTTAGAAGTCAATTGACTCCAAACTGCTCATACCAAAATATGGCTTGAGAGGACAGTTGGAGTAGGCAGCCTGTTTTTAAGTGCCTGCATAAGCAAAAATGGAAGAAAGACCAGGGGCACCTCTTGTGCATGCTTCAGGGAGATCCCCTTCTAAGTTGCAACCCTACCCTTCCTTCCACGTTACCTGCCCGTCCAGCCCCATCACCCAACTCTCTGGTCTTTAGCTTACATCCCTACCATCAAACCCTGAGACTAACCTTTCTTTGGCACCATCTTTGGTTCTGCTGAGAGCTGCCAGTCAGTCAGTGAGATTAACCAACATTTCCTGACAGTGTGGCTCCCTCCCAAGTGAGAGATGAAAAGTCCTCCAATTTCCACCCACGGCATTTTATAGCTGCATGGTGGGATTGCAATGGACTAATTAGCTACCAGCCAATTGTTTTTTCTTTTAACTGGGGTCTGGGGAAAGTCCAACCATTCCCCCTAAAGTTCAGCCTAACATCTCTCACTCCAGCATCCCGTGCTGCATAAGGGAGGTCACTAAGACTTCACGGAATCTCAGTACCTCTCATTTTCTCTTGCCAGAGAGAAACCAGTGCAGCGAGAGAATGTAGACTTCCCAATCTTGCAGGCTACCACCGTGCGCACATCACCCTGCTTGTGCCACATTTGCGATACACTGTAAATTAAAGGGCTTCCATCACCTCAGCTAATGTGCAGTGCAGCCTGTAGATTCATGCCGTTGATCCCAGAAGCAATCATGCTACCTTTATGTTGCAGCAGGTCATCCAGCAAGATGGCTGCAGGGTAGGACAGTCCAGCTGGAGCTCCTCTGCTCCGCCCGCTCTTTTCTTTCTCTCTTCTGGAGCGCTTTTTTAAAACTTTTAACTTTTTAAACCTACTTGGAGGGGAATGGAGGAGGCGAGTCCCAGACCGGAGGCCGTTCCAGGGAGGCGGCTCCAGGACCTGTGGCTGTCGTGGGGAGGTGAGGACCTTGCGGACTGGAGGCAAGGCCTCGAGTTTTGAAGCCAGGTGCGGCTGGAAACTTGGCCTGTTGCGCTCTGGAAGCTAGTTGCTGGCACAGACTGGGGTGAAAGGACTGTAAATCGAGTGAGAGATAGTGGGAACTGCCGATGCTGGAGAATCTGAGATAACAAGGTGTAGAGCTGGATGAACACAGCAGGCCAAGCAGCATCAGAGGAGCAGGAAAGCTGACGTTTCGGGTCTGGACCCTTCTTCAGAAAAATATATAGATCATTTCTTCTTTGTGGCATGCACTAATGCCAGACAGGAATTAGAGTATGCAGCCCAAACTAATGTGGTCACAGAATTTTTCTGAAGAAGGGTCCAGACCCAAAACGTCAGCTTTCCTGCTCTTCTGATGCTGCTTGGCCTGCTGTGTTCATCCAGCTCTACACCTTGTTATCTGTGTAAATCGAGTGCTTCTTTTCTCCTTTTTATGCTTTTGCTGGACTTCTATTTACTATTCTTTCAATTTTGTACCAAATATTTAAGTATCTGCACCTAGATATCTTCTATCTAAGATGGCGCCATAAGCAGCGACATTGCAAACTTTTCCCTGCATTCATTCCCATGTATGTGACAATAAAGGTAATTCTTTCATTGATTCAACTCATGCATTGAAACACTGTGAAGAGCCAGAGAGTGTGCCTAATTGACATTTCGAGCTATCCTCTGATAATATGGCTCAAGATTCCAGTAATTCAGGCATCCAGGTGTACCAAGCCAAAAAATGAAAGCCAGGATGACACAAAATAAAAATGGTGGTAGAATATTCCACTAGAATGCCAAAACAATTAGTAGAATTTAATGCCCCCACCCAGAGTTAAATGCCGAGGTGGGTATGGGGACATTTGATCAGGATTGAGGATGCTCTCCTGCAGCTTTTCTAACTCCCCATTTTTAAGTCCAGGATAGGAAGGCTCTTCCTGACAAGATCCAATCGAAGCCATTCAGTGTGCAAGTGATAGTACAGGTAGTCCTCCATTAACATGGTAGTTACACCTCTGAAAATCACCGCGTTAAACACAACTATGTCACTTGAAGAACTCATGCCCACAGAAACCCATGTATATGTTCAGGTTACGCTCGCAGAGCATCAATCAAGTACCGAATACAAGCACAAAGTTAAAATAAGCCAGCAAAACAGACATGGAAATTTGCAAAAAGAATTTTCTTTAAAGTTTCTTGCCTCGCATACAAGATTGTTCATCTGGAGGTGGAGGGTTGGTAACAGGTCTTCATTCAACTCATCAGCAAGTTAGAAGCTGAAGGTTGAAGATCATCAGACTGTTGCTGCTTTGGAGGTGGAGGGTTAACTGCTCTTGGGGACAGTTTTTAAAAACTTATCCAGCCTTGATAGAGGCAGTCAATGGATAAAACATGCGGACTGAACATGAACATGTCTATAAGTGCTGCACATTTATGACTCCCTGCCGCTGGGACTGAGGTAAGAACTGGGTTATTGTGGATCAGGGACATGGTAATGGGATGATGGAGTGCAAAGTCAAAACCATGTTATGGCAAAAAACCATGTTACTCAAACACCATCTGTATTTACTCAGCAACAGGCATGGGGCTTTCCATGCAGACCGTAAGATATAGGAGCAGTAGGAGGCCATTTGGCCCAATGAGACTGCTCAACCATTCGATGAGGGAAATTTCCTCCTCATCTCAGTCTTAAATAGGCAACTCCTTATTCTAAGGTTATGCCCTCTAGTCTAAGACTCTCCCACAACCTCCAAGTATCTACCCCATCAAGACTCTTAAGAAGGAGGCTGTGGGAGGTGTTACACATGCCCCTACACCCACCCCCTCACCTCCATCCGAGGCCCAAGACAAACTTTCTATATCTGACAGGGGTTCACCTGTACATCCTCCAACCTGGTCTACTGTATCCATTGCTCCCGATGTGGCCTCTTCTACATTGGTGAGACCAAACGTAGCTTCAGAGACAGATTTGTCAAGCATCTGCGCTCCATACACTATAATCAACAACACTTTCCGGTCACCAAGCATTTTAACTCCCCCTCCCACTCCCTGGGTGACATGTCCATCCTGGGCCTCCTCCAGTGCCACAATGATACCACCTTCCAACTGGAGGAGCAGCACCTCATATTCCGCCTCGGGAGCCTACAGCCCCGATGGCCTAAACATAGAATTCACCAGTTTTAAAATCTCCCCAGTCCTGGCCTCATCCCATGTCCAATCCTCCCTCTCATCCCCGCCTCTTTGACGTGACACTATCTGTCCATCTTCTTCCGCACCTATCTGCCCCACCCTTCCCACTGACCAATTCCCACTACCCCGACCTGCATCCACTTATCACCATCCCACTTACCTTCCCCCAGCCCCACCCCTCCCTCTATTTGTTTCCCAGCTCCCTTCCCCCTTCCCCAGTCCTGATGAAGCGTCTAGGCCCAAAACGTCGACTCTCCTGCTGCTCTGATGCTGCCTGACCTGCTGTGTTCCTCTAGCTCCACACTGTATCAACCCTGACTCCAGCATCTGCAGTTCTTGCTATCTCTGAGCCTCAAGATCTTAGATGTTTCGATAAGGTCACCTCTCATTCTTCTAAACTCCAATGTGTACAGGCCCAACCAACTCAACCTATGTTCATAAGAAAATCCTTTCGTAGCCAGAGTCAACCTAGTGAACCTTCTCTTATTGCCTCCAAAGGTAGTATATCTTTCCTAAGATAAGGGACCCAAAACTGAACACATTATTCCAGGTTTGGTCTGAACAGTATAGTTTTGGAAAAATGCCCTACTTTGAAACTACGGTCACACAGATTTACACTAATTGGCAAAAAAGGGCAAAAGCAATATTTTCAAAATAAAGATGCACGAAAAAAATTTTGTTTGGGTCGTTATTAATTACAGACGAATAGAATCAATTTACCCGAATCTGGTGGCTCTGGTGCTAAGTAGGTTTTCAATTGCAATCATTTGATCTTCTGAGTACGAGTTGCAATTCCTCAATGTATCCAAAATAGTAATGTCACAGTTTTCAATAACAGAACCTTCAAGGTCGCAGGTCAAATCACCCAATACTGTAACACTCTCCCTTGTCAGACCTCCACTGCCAACTCCCTGAAATTTAAACAGATTGAAAAACACATTTTAACATTACAATATATTTCATTTACACACTCTTAATCCTAACTAAGCTTGTAAAAAGACTATTATTATGCACTGACATTTGGAGAAAATATCAGAAAAGTATATCGCGTGAGTTTGATATTGGGCAAGAAAGTTCGTCATCCAAAGAATTTGCCCCATGTGCCCCTGGACTCTAATCATTAACTCTGATTCTCTCTACACAGACCTGCTGGGTTTCTCCAGCATCCTTGAAGATTAGAAATGATCCTGTTCAGACTGGATTTGCATAAGGCAAAAGATCTGTTTCAAACAACCTGCTGAATAATTGTTAAATTTTAAAAAAAGTTAACAATGGAAAATACTGGAAATACACAGTATATCAGGCAGCATCAGTGAAGAAAAGAAAATATTTCATGTATAACCTTCCATTCTGACAAAAAGCGTCACCAGAAACATTAAAAACCAAAACAACTGTGGATGCTTTAAATCAGAAACAAAAATAGAAATTGCTGGAAAAGCTCAGCAGGTCTGGCAACATTTGTGGAGAGAAGTCAGAGTTAATGTTTCAGGTCGAGTGACCCTTCCTCAGAAGCAGCAACATTAACCTTTTCCTTTCTCCGTATACTGCTGCTCTGCTGATTGTTTTTCAGCATTTTCTGTGTTTGTTTCCAATTTGTGACCATTCAGCATGTCCTTACCAAACAGGTTAAGGCACCATTCAACAGCCTTTGTCGTCTTCTTGATCCTTTTTGCAAGATATTTATGTTTGATCTTCCAATAGCTCTGAAGAATGACTTGCAATTTGCAGAACTCCTGAATTCAGTAGAGCTGAAACAGGTGAAAGTCGGCATTTTAACATTATTCTTATTCCAAGCTTGTTTAAAATTGCAACTTACAGACAATCAAGATCAAAATTACACAGTGAGTGAGCACTCACATCATCATGGACTCAGTGGCACAGCAACCTGCAGAGTCAATATTGTTATGGACCAAACCAAACCCAGTCAAAATATTTAGAAGACAGTCTAGACCTTAACTTTTTATTATTTTAAAGGTAAATGTAAGGTGTTACATTCCAGATGCCATTTGTTTGGTCAAGCTACTGGATTTAAAGCAAAACACACTTTTCTTCGTCCACTATACTTGAAATACAACAAAAGAAACAACTCTATTGGGAAAACATAACAGAATAATAGATACTGTAACTGTTACGAACTAATTGTTCAAGTATAGTAACATCCCATGAACACACCCTTGGAGAAAGGCAAATTCAGAACACAGATTGTCTCACATGCAACTCCTGTAGCAAGAGGAGAAACCCCAGCTTGTGGCTCTAACTGAAATAGGAACAAAAAATAGCTTTCACCTCTTCAGGTTCCCAACAGCAACTGCTGAAAGCTAAACATAAAATCCCTGGTTCTGTGGATGGAAGCTTGACCACACCCATTCAGGCTGCTTCTATTGTTCCAACTTTTAAAAGAAACCCCAAGGCCTCATAAGCTGTTTACTTTGTTACAGGCTGCTCAACATCCCTTCTTCAATCTCTCTTTTAAAACAAACCATCATCACAATATGCACATGGAAATCAGAAAGTTGCAGTCTGAGTTGGTCTGTTTCTTCACTTTAGCTGTACCTCACTGATAAATTCAGCACTGAAATTGGTGTATGAGTCTGAAGTTGCATTTTTGACATGCCAGTTTTGTGTAAAACAGCCCCAAAAAATGTTAAGGCTAGTGCATTCAGGGGCTAAGTGAATTTTTAATAGTATATTAAGTGATAATCACAATCGAACAACCCCTCTGGCCCTGCAAGTTCAATTTTATAATCGTAGAGTGTCATTCTTTCACAATATAATTCATGTTGGCCATTTTAAAACCAAATTGTTTTTCCTTTCTCTGTCTTTTTTTAATCTTTCAATCCAATCTTTCTTTCCCATTCTTCTATACACAATTTAAATTTAATGTTTACTTCTCAGTTTTGATTTTGCACATCTTAGTGAGAATTCCTCAAACTCCTTCACTAACTAGCCTCATTGTAATTTGCCCAGATTCCCAGTACAGGACACAGCACTTGATCAAATGCCCAATCCTAGTTCGACAAAGTAAAAAGTAAAGGAAGAATCTCCAGGCTGCAGTCACCAGAGCAAACAGCAAATGCTCTTCCATTATCCCGGATTTTTTTTTCTATTCATTTTTGTGGGATGTGGGTGTCACTGGCTGGCCAGCATTTATTGCTCATCCCTAGTTGCCCTTGAGAAGGTGGTGGTGAGCTGCCTTCTTGAACCGCTGCAGTCCTCCTGCTGTGGGTTGACCCTCAATGCTATTAGGGAGGGAATTCCAGGATTTTGAGCCAGTGACAGTGAAGAAATGGCAATATATTTCCAAGTCAGGACGGTGAGAGATTTGGAGGGGAGCTTGGAGGTGGTGGTGTTCCCATATATCTGCTGCTCTTGTCCTTCTAGATGGAAGTGGTCGTGGGTTTGGAAGGTGCTATCTGAGGATCTTTGGTGAATTTCTGCAGTGCATCTTGTAGATAGAACACACTGCTGCTACTGAGCGTCGGTGGTGGAGGGAGTGGATGCTTGTGGGTGTAGAGCCAATCAAGCGGGCAAAGTTGAGGTCAATTTGCATTGAAATTTTGTTTCCATTCTCTAGACAGCCAAGTAACAACATCAAAATGAACAGGACAAGAAAATACCTACCATAGGAAAGATGTTGTTAAACTTGAAAGAGCGTAGAAAAGATTTGCAAGGATGTTGCCAGGGTTTGAGCTAAAGAGAGAGGCTGGGGCTATTTTCACTAGAGTACCAGAGGCTGAGGGGTGACCTTATAGAAGTTTATAAAATCATGGGGGCATGGATAGGGTGGATAGTCGAGGTCTTTTCCCCAGGGTGGGGGAGTCTAAAACTAGAGGGCATAGGTTTAAAGTGAGAGAGGAAAGGTTTAAAAGGGACCTACGGGGCAACTTTTTCACACAGAGGGTGGTGAATGTATGCCAGAGGAAGTGGTGGAGGCTGGTACAATGACAATATTTAAAAGGCATCTGAATAGCAAGGGTTTAGAGGGATATGGGCCAAATGCTGGCAAATGGGACTAGATTAATTTAGGATATCTGGTCGGCATGGACCCGTTGGACCGAAGGGCCTATTTCCATGCTGTACAACTCTATGACTCCATTTCATTGTAGTCCAGTGAGAATGTACTGATATCCTCCAATGGCTTTGACTTACATTTTTCTTCTTAATTTATGTTATTTCCCCTTGTTTTGGATTCCTCTCCCTCTGTGGAAGTTACAGAATCATGATGGACAGAAGAAGCCCACTTTATCTGTTGTGTCCGCATTGGAACTTTTAGCAATTAACCACCATGCCACCTTTGTTCTTTTTCTTTCTAATTTTATGGGCTGCTTTATTTATTATATCCCAGGAGTATTTTGTAGTGATATCTAAGGGATTATATCAATGTAACTAGCTTGAAAAGTGCTATGACGGGTCATGGCAGTGGATTTGGGGCTTGTCTCAGACCAGAATATAATTATCATATCAGAACCAGCACTTCTAATCTTCTTATAAGTAAAGCTGATGTAATCCTTTGGTGGGAATGAAAGGATCAAAGAAATTAAATAAATCTTAAAAAGAGTGTTGCTGTTAACTTGTGGATACATTCTTCATAAATGAGATTTTTTTAAATTCATCTATGGTTGGCATCTTCTCAGACTCCCCTTGAATAACTCATTCTGAATTTAAGTGCAAATATGGGTTTTGTAAACCTGCATGAGAAGCAACTCACTCAAAAAACAGCAAAACGTCTTCAGGGAGGGTGTCTATGACCAACGGTGTTTCAGTAGAGGTTAACCTGTATGACATACAGCTCAGCTGAAGGGAGAGACAATAAGTGTATGATTAAAACATAACCAGTCCCAAAACAGCAAGTCCCATAGAACAATCATGGTGTCACCAACTTTAGCAAAAACTGATTATGATGGAGTTGCTGTGCTTCAATCGTTACCAAAGAGATGAACGTAGCAGTTGATATCTGAACATGGAAAGCAAGCCATTGTTTGTGAAGTGTTTTGGCATATTCTGAAAGATTGTAAATATGGTTTTGTACAAATGCAAATATTTTCTGTTTTTTGGCATGGACAAAGGAAACAACTTTTAAAAGGTTTCTAACAGTATTGGATTGAATTTCACTTTGTTCACAATCTCGTCATTGGTCTCAAATCTGGGTTGGTTACATGGGTGTAGTGTGATCGTCATGGTGTTCCCAGAGGTGACCAATTAAGAAGCTGCCTCTGAAACCTTCCATCTAAAAGAAGGATAGCAGGAGGGCCAAGCCCAGCAACGATGTTTGGTCACCAAACCAACTGGGAAAAAAACATGGACACAGTGAGGCAGATATGAATGTGCAACAGTGGCTCAAAATGGTGGCTGACTCCTGGGATGAAGAGGTTAATTTATAAGAATGGCTAACAAGGTTAGGCCTTTTTTCATGAACGTTTAAAGAAATAGAGGCAATCTTACTGAACCGTACTAGATTCTGAGGGGATTTGACAGGAGAGATATTGAGAAGACGTTTCCGCTTATGTGAGTATCTCGAACAAGGGAACATAGTCACAGATAAAGGGGGCACGGATTTAAAGATGAGATGTGAAAGAATTTATTCTCCCAGAAGGTAATGAATGCCTGAAATTCTCCACCTCAGAGTTGTGGAGGCTAGATCACAAAGTATTTAAAGAGGCAGTGGACAGGTTTTTGAAATAGCGTGGGGTTAAAGGTTATGAGGAACTGACATGAAAGAAGTTGAGTCCTGGGGCAGATCAGCCATGATCTTATAGAATGCTGCGCCGTGTTCGAGGGCTGAATGGCCTACTCATGCTCCTATGTTCTATACAGCATTGTGAAAAATTTATCATGCATGCCCACAGCTGTCAAACCATCAGCATGGAGGGGTAATTCCCTGACAGGGTGTCTTATGACTGCACCTATGGCTGTAGCATCCCAGTGAGGCCATACTTGAGTGAGGCAGAGGGGTTTGCAATGGCTTCTTAGGCATGCTGCCAGTCCAGCCTCTGCAGGTATCCAGTCTCTGCCATGAAACTCACTGCAAGGTCACCAACATTTCCCCAATTGGTTCATTATGGCCCTAGTCTCTTACTCACCACTGCTGGGTAGCTGGCCTATAACATCATAAGAAATAGAAACAGGAGTAAGCAGTTCGCCCCTCGAGCCTGCTCCACCACTCAATTGGATCACGACTGATCCACCATTCTTCACGTCTGCTTTCCTGCAAAGTCCCTTTGCACTGCAGCTTTCTACAGTTTTTCTCCTTTTAAATAATACTCTGTTCTTTTGTTCTCTCTTCCAAAATGAACAACTTCACATTTTCCCACATTATACTCCATTTGCCATCTTTTTGCCCACTTTCTTAACCTATCATTATCTCTCTATAAACTGTTTGTATCCCTCTCGCAGCTTGCCTTTCTACTTATTTTTGTGTCATCTGCAAATTTGGCTACAGTACATTCATTTCTTTCCTCTAAGTCAGGAATAAATATTATAAACAGCCGCAGTCACAGCACTGATTTCTGTGGAACCCCACTGGTCATGGGTCACCAATCCGAAAAAGAATTCCTTATCTCCATGTGCTGTTTCCTGCCCGCAAGCCAATTCTCTATCATGCCAAAGTACTACCTCCAACACTATGGGCTCTTATCTTAGGACTTAATCTTTTGTGAGGTTCCTTGTTGAAAGCCTTTTGGAAGTCCAAATACCACACATCTACTGGTTCCCCTCTATCCAATGTAGTTGAGACTTCCTCAAAAAATTTGAATAAATTAATCAGTTTTGATTTCCCGTTCATGAAGCCATGCTGAACTCTGCTTGATTTGATTACAATTATTCAAATGTGCTGCTGTTAATTCCTTAATAATGAAGTCCGACAAATTTCCAACATGGCCTGTCATGCTCACGCTCCCTTTGGAAAGGTGGCTCAGAGGTGGAAGTCTGATGGGTGGCAACCTGACACACTATCGTCCAATTTTATTCCTGGTCTTACCTCCTAACCTACCCCTGGAAAAATTCAGCCTGTTTTATCACTGGGACAATTAACATTTGTGATAGACATTCTGCAGCTCTAATTATACTATTTTTGGCACATATTCGAGTCTATTATAGTAATACTGCCAGAGAAATATCACAAAATGCTATAAGCAGACAGCAAGTGACCTGGCTAAACTCACTCCTGACATTGGAATTTCTGCCATAAATAGGGGTACAGTTGCAAGACATACACACAAAATGGCACTGACACTCACTTGACCCATACAAATTAAGTCTCATCCTAGAAGAGGAAGTGCTGAAGGTCTTAAAAAAACATAAAGGTGGATAAATCTCCAAGATCTGATCAAAAGAACCCAGGGGCAATATCTTCACACAGAGGGCGGTTTGTATGTGGAAATGAACTACCAGAGGAAGTGGTTGTTGCAGGTACAGATAGAACATTGAAAAGCTGTTTGGATGGGTACACGAATAGAAAAGGTGTAAAAGGATTTGGGTCAAGCAGAAGCAAGTGGATCTAGTTTAGTTTGGGAAACCTGGCCGGCAAGGATGAGTTGGATCTAAGGGTCTGTTTCTGTGCTGTATGACTCTATGACTCTACTGACCCCTAAACTCTGAACGATTGACATTGAAGAACATTGTCAGGACCATAACACGGGGTGGCTTTTGCTTTTGGCGATATGGGACAGAGGCTACATCCTCTCTATAATGACCATCATTGCTGGGAAATAGCAGTGGCTATAGCTGATGATAAATATCTCTTCGAACCATCTGACCTATTTTCTGCTATTGACTTACAGTAATGGGATGTGATAGCACCCGAAGAATACTGGCATCTTTATTTTACAATTAACAGCTCCAGACAATTCTAAAGCATTCACTTATTACAGATTTGAGATCTAAAGAAGGTTCATACGCACAAAAAGAATTCTTTATAAAATGTTCTTAGCCCCCACATGTCCATGTCACTACCTTGTGAACATTACATCTTTGATCACTTGGCACACTGTATACCAGTGATACTAGGAATAGAACTAGTCCATGGCATAACTCCCTTGTACTGAGTAGACGGGGGTATTCATAGAAATAACAGAGACCTACTATAGCCAGGCTCTGCCGCGTTTTCTAACTGCCTGCAGTTACAGTGGGGAATCGGCAAATCCCAGAGAGGAATTTCAGGAATCAATATATGAAACAAAAACTACAGCACAATCCATTAATTTGACCACCCAGCTTAATCCTACATGGCCAGCTAACAAAGCAGAACATGTAAAAAAAGAAATCGGTTAGAATCAAAAGACACTTTCTTCCAGAGATGAGCTCATCAACATACTCAGAAGTGTTACTGCATACCTCTGGAGCATGCAGTTTTGAAAGTGGGCCTCATGGCTCAAAGGTAGGGACACTACCCTTTCACCAAAACAGAGTCCTTTCTTCTCTTCTTTTCTAATCAACCTGTTCAGAGATGTTACGACACACCTCTGGAGCAGGTGGGACTTGAACCCAGGCCTCTCAATCCAGGGGTAGGGACACTCCCAATGCACCACAACAGTCCTATCCTCCATAGATGATTTTTATAAATGACCTCACCTGACTTTCATCAAGCACCACCCCTCTACCCTTCATTGCTTGAACAAGCTGAAGAAACGCCACAGAATTCAGGTTTCTGACTGCACCGCAACTGAAACCTTGGAGGATAGAAGGCGAGAATCTGAAACAAATAATGGAATGATCAAATCATTATCAAACAGCTCACTTTCTTCTAACAGGAACCAGATTCCGTTCCTTAATAACTGCAATCCTATTCATCCCAAGGGTATATTGTGTGATTTCCCAGAAATATTATTGAGGCATGCTCACCTAGAGTTTGCTGGAGTTCAGACGAATGAGGGGGGATCTCATAGAGACTTATAAAATTCTAACTGGACTGGACAGTGTAGATGCAGGGAGGATGTTCCTGATGGTGGGTGTGTCCAGGACCAGGGGTCACAGTCTGAAGATTCAGGGTAGCTGATTTAGGACGGAGATGAGGAGACATTTCTTCACACAAAGAGTGATGAGCCTGTGGAATTCACTACCACAGGAAGTAGTTGATGCCAAAACATTGAATGTATCCAAGACATGACTAGATATAGCACTTGGGATGAATGGGATCAAAGGTTATGGGGAGGAAGCAGGATTAGGCTACAGAGTCGGACAATCAGCCCTGATTGTGAAGAATGGTGGAGCAGGCTCAAAGGGCCGAATGGCCTCCTCCAGCTCCTATCTTTGATGTTTCTATGTTTCTACCAGTAATTCTACAATTTCATTCATCATAGGTTGAACTGTTAGGTCACAGCCAGTGATAAGCCATTATGAACAAAATAAGTCGTGTTCACAAGATAAAGAAAGATGAGAAAAGAGGGCTACAACATTTTAGCTCATGCCACCACAAGTCTACAGCTCCATCAGGGGATCTCATGCTTCTTAGATGTTTGTAAGGGTTGTTCTTTCTGTTCTAGATGTTCATACTATTGCTCGGAAATCACACCAGTGTTGGACGCAGCAACAAACTTAGCTGTTATAGTTGTTACGACCAAGTGAGGAGGGGAAATCTACTACCCTTTTTATAAGAGCAAATCACTGCAGATGTTGGAATCTGTACTGAAAACAACAAATGCTGGAGATCACAGCGGGTCAGACAGCATCCATGGACAGAGAGCAAGGTAACATTTCGAGTCTAGATGACTCTCAAATCCAACTCAGTATCTCCGAAGACAATAAATATTCGAGTGATTAAAATATATTCTACAGGTGAAAAGTGAGAATATTTCAGTCATTACACGGTTCATTGTGGAATCAAAAAAGTTTGTAGTTCAGAAGACTACCAAGATCATTGAAAATACGTTAGCTCCTTGCTAAATTAAATCATAATTAACTGTGACAAAATATTCCACACTTAATAATAATCTAATTGAACAGTATTATGATATTTTTAAAAGGTATATGCTAATCTGTATGGAATACATTCCTTTGTACGAATATAAATAATTACACAAATAGTGAGGAAGCCCGACCCACACTGATATAAAAATGTAGAAAAAGAATTTTGAACAGATGAACAGTAAGCTACTTATTACTTACCTGATGTAATTATTATTCTTTCTTACGATGTTTTCAAAGAATACAGAAGCCTAAAAAGGGAAAATTATAAAAAATATTACTGTGATATACTAACTGTTTTTGGGAAACTGTAATATTAGTAGTAAGACATAGAAATAAAGCAGTTAAAAAGCACACTGTGGTGTAATTTCATGCTTAGTCATTAGCAACTTAATCCTTATACTTGGGGAAAGTGGTCAAACTTTCATTCAGCCTCTCACAGCTCATTCTGAATTCTCAACACATTGACCAGGTAAAATGCTCCCATTACACAAATTAGCAAGGGGAAGACAGCACATATGACCAGTGTATGTTAAATGATTTCCAAACACATTTATTCTAAATGTGTCAGATGAATAATTGAAGAATGTGATTCCTTACTTGTTCTGGTACCCACTGTTTATTATTGACATCATTAAGATTGAGATCTGCGGTCAGGTGCACAGGTGGGATCTCTTGAACTAGTTCGCTTGGAATCTTCTGCACTCTTCTTAAAGGATTAGTTTCAGTCTGCAAAACCTGGATTCAAATGAAAACCAGTGTAATTTAAGAAACACATTGCATTCTGTAAGCTAGAATCAACAGTGCTGAAGCTTCCCATACTTAACTTAACACAATGTACAGATACAAGCAATGACAATAATTTGATTTTCCTTACACCATTTGTACATGCGATGTTTACCTTCAGAACAATAATCTGCTGTGACGGTTGTGGTGCTACCAGAATATTTCTGACAAACGTAGGGTTGGAAGTCACATTGACAAGAACTGCGGGTTCAATAATTTCAAACACCCTGCTTGGAACACCCTGTACCAAGGTTCCAAGTTGAAGCAGATTGTTTGTGTTTCTGAACTAATAAATATAAGAGAAAGGAAAAAAATAAATTCAAAACCATGAAAGAAAACGCAGCAAAATTAACTCTGAACGAAGCGCAGAACACAAAAGTTTAGATTTCTTCCGCCTTTGCCTCCCCAACCACCGACACCCCTATCCCACAAACCTGACTCTTCTGTCACAAGCACCCTGAAAACCTCTTGCCCAGTACAAAGTGCTGGTGGGTGACAAGGGTTAACTCATATCCCAGAGGCTGAAGAGGTCTAAACCACATGTTATAATAGTTTTAAAGTCAGCAAGTTTCAAACTGTAAGCAAGTTCCTGTCAAAAAAAAACTGACTGAATCCAGTGACTCTTTTTTGGCTAGAAACGTAAATAGTCAAAATTCCCTCCTCCAGTGTCTTCAACCTGATCAGGTACTCCTATAAACGCTTGATCCCAGGAAACAATTCCATAGTTGAAACATTTCTCAATTTATTAAACTCCTATCTTTTCAAGTACACGAGATCTTACTGCAATTACACATCAAATTCTCAGTGAATTTTAGGAGCGAATATGATTACAAAACTTCAGTTCCCTGTTTATTCAGATCTTACCTCTACACCACTAGTGGATAACTTGGACACAATGGTATTGGCTTGGCCACGATTCCATCCTCTGACATTACGCAAAGTTGTCAGGGATTCTTTGAAATTATTTGCATCAGTTTCTTCAATCTGTGACACTGAGAGCCCAACTGCTGTTTGCTGCAAATTATTCAGAGTGCTGGCCGAAAAGTTGTCAATTCTACTCACTAATGATTTTGAGAGCTGCAGAAAATAAGAAAAAAGAAACACAATTGAAATTGAAAACAGTGGAAGGGAAATGCAGTGGGTAGACAAAAGGTTAGGTACAGCATTTAGTTTAATTAACTTTGGATGATACTGGTTGCATTGCAACATTTCAGGAGCCTCCTTTGACCTCCAATTAATGCAGCCCTTCTATCCCACTGCCATCTGTTACTTTGGTAAAAGGGAATATAAATTAGATGGTTAATTTCACACCAAATGTTTTCAACCTGTGATCTCAGGTGATTAGGATGTCTTACATAGTGAGCACAGTGAATTGCTTAAAAGTCATCAGGATTCAATTTAATTTTTAACTATTTATTTTATGATCTTATTTTTTCATGTTTACACTATTTGAAACTGCAGTCATTAGCTGACAATGAGCTCTATTCTAACGTAGGGCAGGAAAGCAGGAGTGGTACAGTGGCACAGTTGTCAGCACTCCTGCTCCTTTACACCCACAGCCAGTTGCCAAAACCTGTTGGATTTGGCAATTCTTACTTTCTTTGCACTGATAGGCAGCACGGTGGCTCAGCGGTTAGCACTGCTGCCTCACAGCACCAGGGACCTGGGTTTGATTCCACCTTCAGGTGACTGTCTGTGTGGAGTTTCACAGTCTCCCTGTGTCTGCACGAGTTTCCTCCCACAGTCCAAAGATATGCAGGTTAGATAGATTGGCCGTGCTAAATTGCCCATAGTGTCCAGGGATGTGCAGGCTAGGTGGAAGAGCCATGGGAAATCATAGAATTCCTACAGTGTGGAAACAGGCCCTTCGGCCCAACAAGTCCACACCGACCCTCAGAGCATCCCACCCAGATCCATCCCCCTATAACCCATCTAATCTACACGTCCCTGAGCACAAGGTGCAATTTAGCCTGGTGAATCCACCTAACCTGCACATCTTTGGAGTATGGGAGGAAACCGGAGCACCCGGAGGAAACCCACACAGATACAGGGCGAATGTGCAAACTCCACACAGACAGTCACCTGAGGGTGGAATCGAACCCAGGTCCCTGGCACCGTGAGGTAGCAGTGCTAACCGCTGAGCCACCGTGCCGCCCTGTGGGGTTACAGCAATGGGGGTGGGTCTGGGTAGGGTGCTCCTCTGAGGGTTAGTGTGGACTCGATTGGCCAAATGGCCTGCTTCGACACTGTAGGGATTCTATGAAAGCTGTAAAGCAGAGAATCCAGCAGTCATGCGTTCTGCTAATTTCTTGGTCTCCGCCGTCACTTACTGAAGTAGCAGCAGGTACTGGGCAGGATAGTCCAGTTAGTTCATCTCCGTCTTAAAAGATTTAAACTGAGCCAGCCAGACTTGACGAAGAAGAATTCTGCATTTCTATCACCCTTGCATGAAGGAGTGCTCTTTGATTTTACACTTCAAAGGCCCAACTCTAAGTTAATATTTTGTATCAACACCAACATTGTGGTCTCTAGGGATGATTTTTGGCAATGGATGGGTGACTAATGACCAAGAGATCTTTGCCTTTTGCTGAAATATATATCAGCACTCAGCAAATGATAAGTCTTAACTTCCATGGCCATTACTTGAGCTTGTGAGAGATTAGGGACTCAGCAGGTTTTCTGGGTGATGAGCTGATTTGCCTCAGCCAATGTCTGGTTCATAGAGTGATAGAGATGTACAGCATAGAAACAGACCCTTCGGTCCAACTTGTCAATGCCGACCAGATATCCTAATTTAATTAAGCCCCATTGGCCCATAACGCTCTCAACCCTTCCGATTCATGTACCCATCCAGATGCTTTTTAAATGTTGTAATTGTACCAGCCTCCACCACTTCCTCTGGCAGTTCATTCCATACACGCTCCATCCTCTGTGTGAAAAAGTTGCCCCTAAGGTCCCTTTTAAATCTTTCCCCTCCCACCTTAAGCCTCAGCCCTCTAGTTTTGGACTCTCCTATCCTGGGGAAAAGACCTCATCTATTCACCCTATCCATGCCCCTCATGATTTTATAATTGTCCATAAAAGTGGTTCTCAATGTTTTTGTAAATAGTATTGTCTCTGTGCAGATAGAGTACTGTAATGAATTGAAGATAAGTGCAAGGCTCTGTCTGGGGTTAATTTTGACTTTGATTAATTATGCAAACGACTAAACCAGAGGACAATAATGCCAATATAAACTAAAATCAGGAGAGATGTTTAGTCAGCAGCTGATCCAACAGCACCTATGTTGTACATCTGTTCAAAGTGAAATTATGTCGACCCCAACTTGGTTAACATGGACTGGTTGGACCGAAGGGTCTGTATGACCCTATGACTTTATGTTTAGGACAAATGGCAGAATGCCTCCTAGTGTTTGAACATAACTGTGCCAAACAACAGATATATATGGAATCTGTGCAGTGCTACAAGCACTTTGAATTATTTTCTCCAGCGTTTGAAGAGTGTTTTATTACCTTGATCTGTTCATTAGTTGTTTGAGATAATGTTTCATTGGATGATGCGCTGAACCCGCAGACTTGGTTTACCCTTTCAATGATAGACAAGGTCTGCTCTCCACTCAAAGATTCCAATACATCCGTACCAGCAGTGAAGCAAATAATAGAATCTGGAAGACTACAAGCAAATGCCAGAGGTTTACTGGTAGGCATTTCAGAATCACAAATAATTATTAGGTACCTACATCCATACATTTACCAAGAATCAAGATAATACATTGTAGTTACTTTGAAGCTGTTGTTCTATCCTTGACTTATTCCAAAGCTGGTTAATCCTAAGTAGTCATCAACTCAGGTACAAGCTGTAAAACTAAACATCCTTCTTAAAAGTTATTTATGCAGATTAGATCCTAGCTGCAAGACAATAAATAGGTTGAACATTTACAATGATAAAGTCAGAAGTCACATGACACCAGGTTATAGTCCACCAGGTTTACTTGGAATCACAAGCTTCGGAGTACAGCCTCTTCATCAGGTGAAGTCCTTGATGAAGGAGCAGCATGACGAAGGCTTGTGATTTCAAAACAAACCTGTTGGACTACAACCTGGTGTCGTATGAGTTCAGACTTTGTCCACCCCTGTTCAACACCGGCACCTCCACATCATTTACAACGATGAAGACAGGATACAAAAAAGCAACATTGTGCATTTGTGATAAATTTCCCTTGATGATGAATTAACTTTTAGACTGCAGGCTACAATACAGTGTATAATTTAAAGTGTTAAGTGGCCCAAGCTCCCAATGAAACCATCAGCTGGAAATAAAGATGATAGCATGTATTAATTATCTTGCCAATTGTCGCAATGGCCCTAGGTAATCCCAACCCATCCAACAAAAAAAAACAATAGTAATGTGATGTCCTCTCCCTGTGAATCAGGCAATGTTGGTCCTTATTATTAATAAAGAGTTGGTGCAGCTTTTTGCAACAGAATTGAGGCAATATTCTGCCTTTGCATAATGTAGCTAAGTGTATGATTTAATGCCATGAGTTTAAAATTTGTACTGAAAAGATTAATTTGGAGTTTCTTTACAAACCACGACCAAGTGTGCATGCAGAAGACTGCAGCAGTCTTGTCATTAAATATTCAGGGAAAGTTTGTATTGATAAAGATCATGGGTTTTTAGCAGCAGAAACTTAGATGAAGACATTTTTGAACAATGTGCAATTTTTCAAACCATATTTAAACACTTCTAATTCTGCAAAAATATTATCTGTTGAATACATACCTTAAGATGTCAATATTAGGGTTGTTGTTCAACAGGAATGTAGCATACAGCCTTGAGATTTCAGTAGGCAATGTCAAATTGTTTAAAAGTTGCAGGTTTTCAGGGTTTGCTGCGAAGTCTCGAAGCTGCACAAAGCAGATTGATGGAATGAGAAATATTTTACTACCATATATCCATTTTATTGAATCACAAAAGGTTGCTGCTGCTACATGTATCAAAACTAAAACTTCATAACTGATTTATTTACAGTAGTATGGAAAATAATGTTGCATTAATCACCAAACTAATCATGGAAACTGCAGAAGTGATACAGGTCACTTTGCCCAACCAGTGTTGTGTTGCGTTGAGTCCTAGTCTCGTGTGTTTGTTTTGTTTAAGTATCCCTTTATTCTCCATTCATTCAACTACTCTATTCTTGAGTAATTCTTCAGTCATGAAGTGCTTTTATCATTCATTCTTGGGATGCTGGGTAGGTCAAAACTTTTTGCCCATTCCCATTTGCCCTGATGTATAAAGTGATGATTTTGAAAGGGTTAATGTTGGAGATGGCAGTAAGCTCTTCCCATTCTGTTGAGTTTTGGGTGGATTATCAGGGATCTAGCTTGCGATTCCAATGGGGTTGGACATGTCATGTCTGGTTGCTGATAGCCTTAATAATTTTGTTTAACGGGCCAATGTAACTTATACCAATTGTTAACATGCAATAAACTACAAAGATAAGGGCTCTTCTTCCTAAAACTGCCATTGCTAATCAAACAGGCCCTCAGACCCAGTATGAAAAGGAAGATGGGTGGCACAACTCTACCCAACCATTAGCTGGTAGTGGGGATAGTAGGAACTGC